TATTTCTGAAGCTTGTAAAGAAGCTATTTGGCTTAGAGGTTTGTACACTGAGCTTTGTGGAGTTACGTCTTGCATTAATATATTTTGTGATAGTCAAAGTGCAATATGCCTTACAAAGGATCAGATGTTCCATGAGAGAACAAAACACATTGATGTGAGATATCACTTTATTCAAGGTGTGATTGCTGAAGGTGATGTCAAGGTATGCAAGATAAGTATTCATGATAACCCAGTTGATATGATGATAAAGCCAGTTCCTGCTACTAAGTTTGAGCTTTGCTCAAGCTTGGTGGGTGTGACAGTATAGTCCTAGAGACTATTTGGCGCGCAGTGATTTTACCTACATGAGATATCTTTGGTGATTGATGTTTTTATGCTACAAGAGGAAATTCGTCTCAAGGTGGAGATTGTTAAATATGTGATCCGAATTTTGGGCCCACAATATATTCGGATTAGTTTCCTAGTAGGAATTCCTATTAGGTGTCTTTCTATTTCCCTTATATATACTCTTGTAAGCCGTACGGGAAAGGGTGATATTCCCATTGTGATTCCCCTACGTTTGTAATCATCTCCTCTATAGTGATCATTGCCGGTCGGCACCCGTGGTTTTTTCCCGCAAGGGTTTTCCACGTAAAAATTCGTGTCTCCATTGTGCATCTATTTTCATAAGCATAGGATAGCCCCGTGCTACTGGCCTTCACCCGCCTTCCTCTTCCCGCACCTCCCCAGTCCACCTCCTTAGATAAGCAGCAACAACATGTTCATGTCTCGTCGTTCTTCCCCGTTTCCACTAGCTCCTGCTTTTAGATCCACCGATAATCACCTTCACCACCTAAATGCTTATAATCATATATCCATACCTCCAGTCAAAAATCATATATCCTTACAACTAGCATTGTCCACCATCATCCTCCAGCTAACCCATGGCTTCGTTGGCACTACCGTCACCTCATCTAGCCCCTTATCTTGCCATCACTCTAAGCCCAGAATACCCCATCCCTCCCCCCTCCTCTCTCTCCCTCTCCCTCCCCATCCCCTGACTCGCGCTGGCCGGTGACTAAAATTATTTATATTTTTAGTCACCTGAAATATTAACTGTTCCCTTGAGCAATTTTATATTTGAACTCTTTTGGTTAATTTGCCAATGGATGCTTACTTTCTTCGATCGACATATTCATCAATATTAATCAACTTGTTTCCCTGCTGTGCTTAATCAATTTCAATTTTGTGAATTCTCTCTCCGACTTGACTCAAACTAATCTGAGGTCTACCTGACTAAGGCCATTAACCACCATGTACGAATAGGATTTTGAGTCCGTATGAGACCACATCAGCGCATGATCTATCATTCAGGGGCCCTTTAAATCAAAGGATTTATGGAGGAATTTGATAGGATTCAAATTCTATAGGAAATTTTTCTATTTGACCCTTTGATTCAAAAGATTGAAACTTTCTAAATCCTATGAAATTTATATGGAATGGCACATAGCATGTGGATTTTGAAGGAAATTTAGCAAGAGCTCTAACCTCTTGGAAAATTTCCTTTGAGTCTATCTCTCTCATCCGATTCCTGCATTTTTCATGCGCTCCAATCAAACGACCATTCCTGTGTTTTTCCTGTGTTTTGCAATCCACTGTTTTTACGCTTCAATTTCTGTCAGAATCCTGTGTTTTTCCTATTCCTCCGTTTTTTCTACCCTGCGATTCAAAGGGGCCCTCAAAGTTAACACTGACACTTTAACTTTAGTTATTTGCACAAAAAAAAATGAATTAAAAGATAACAATCCCCAAAACCGGAAAGTATTTTATAGTTCAATTTCAAATTCAAAACCAGTAATTAGCAAGTTACAGCTAATATAGACCCTTCTTTTCAGTGACGGATCATTTCAATATCAATAATAATTAGCAAGTTACAGCTAATATATATGGACCCTTCTTTTTTTTAATAGGAACAGCTAGTACAGTGTAAAAAAGCCAAAACATACTAGTATTAAATTCTAATGTTTATAATATCAACCATAATTGCAACATACGAGTTAGGGACAAGTACTAAAATACAGTTGTAGAGTAAGATATTTATATTTGTATTCCAAGTAAACAAAAAGATATTCCTCTGTTTCAAAATAAATAATATCATTGAATTTTCGAGACCATTCATTTGTTGAAAATCTAAACAAATATGCAAAAGTAATACAAGTGATGCTTAAAGTATTTTAATTGATGAAATTAATCATATCATAATAAAATAAATTATTACTAAATAATCTTTTTAATAAAACGAGCGGTCAAAAATTTACATAAAAAAATAAACGCCATCGTATGTTAAAACACAGAAGTAGATATGACAAAAAAAAAGAGAAAAAAAACCTCTACATCAATTTAAAAATATATACGGTAAAATTAATTGTAGCTCAAACAAGCAAATCCATCAAAGTGAGCGTAAGTTAACTGGTTAAGTTTGTTGTGATGAAACATGCTCACCCACAAACAAGTCCTAGAGTCAACATTAGTGAGCTCGTATCTATGGTTGATTATTCAGCGATAGGCGACGTATCTGTTAACAACGATACGCCCCTAGTGACTAGCTTCATTAATCTTAAAATATGTTATCCAATGTTCGGAGATGTTTACATAGGTACGATATATGTCTGTATATTTATACATGTGCACACGTGTATATAAGTGCTTTCATTGCACTGATTTAAAAAACAAACGCATAGGTGGTGTTCTTTTCTCATTAAGGTATAGGTTTTTTCTCAGTTTCCGTTAACACGCTTTTTAAAATGTTAAACGGTGTGTTTCGTGCGAAAACTTTTTTTTATAGAAGTTGCTTTAAAATAACAAATAAAACCATTTTCAAATTTTTAATAATTAAAAATCAATTAATTACACACTAATGACTTTTTCATTTTGTGTACCCTAATTTCATCTTCATTAGATTCAAACTGGTCCATAGTTTGCCTTTGGATCTTAGTACCGTCAGGGGCGAAGCTAGCATCAAAACAAGGGGTGCACTTCCATTGAGAATCTATAAAATTTCAGTACAACACTGTACATTCTAGTGTTTTTAAGTGAGAAATTAGGAATTTGGGTGTTCATGTGTACCCCCAAACACAATATAGCTTCGCCACTGAGTACCGTACATACGTCTCGTAGCTACTCTCTCAATTTCCATATTATAAAATAATAGTATTTTTAACACAAAATAAACATATTATCAAAATATATTCAATGTTAGATTTCATTAAACTAATGTGGTGTTTCAGATGTTCCTATTTTTTTTATAAATTTAATCAAACTTTTAAAAAATTGATTAAAAAACCAAAACCGACTTAATTATAATATGAAAAAGGAGGGAATAACCCGGGTTTACGATTCCGACGAAATCCGGTCGGATTTCGTGAAATTTCGACGTTTCGACGAGGCTTGAAAATAGAAACCGTCTGAGATTTCGAGGAGTTTCATCCAAATTCAAATTTGAATTGATAAAAAAGGAAAAAAATCAAATAAAATCTTATAAATACAATGATATTCATAGAACTTGTTGGGATATAAATTTTCGAAAAAAAGATGTATTGTGTGTATTTACTGAAACTTACATCAGGAAAGAAAAGAATTTCAGCAAATTACCTCTGTTTCAAATTACTGATCGAAATTTCGATGATTTCGATCGAAATTTCTCTAAAACCGATCGGTTTTCAAGAACTTATCGGCAAACTCGGGGAATTTGTATTCAGATTTTGGTTTATAAAATTTGTTCGGAATTTATCGGTTTTCCACCGGATTTCGCGAAATTCTGAATTTCGCTAGTGCCCGAAAAGGAAGGGCCTGTTGGAACCGTAAACGCTGGGAATAACTATTTTTGCTAGACAATAACTGCTACATTCTACTGCTAGTAGCTATGGTAGAATTTTTTGGCCATGGCTCTCGTAGTGGTACCGCCCGGCCAAATGCTACTGGTACGTACTGTGGTACTCCCGCAGTTGCACATCAATTCAATTAGTCACATTGATATGAACAACATATTATATCTGGCCAGTAGTTTTAATTAATAGTACGTAAAAAGATGCATGCATGTCATCCTAAAATACTATATATATCCGTTCGTAAAAAGATGCATGTCCTCCTAAAATACATGAAATCAAAACGTAAAATATTGAATTGTTAATTGATGCAAAAATAATAGGACTTAAAAATTGAAAATTCTGTCAGTAGATTTTCCATGAAAAACTCTTTTATATAGCTATAATTTAATATTTTATAAATATATATGTATAGTTTGACAAATTAATGGTAAACGTGTGCATTAGGGACGACTACTACCGATGTCCAAAACATCATACTTTTGAGAAGGGATGTAATTTGTCCATTGTGAAATATAAGGCACTTTTTTTAACTCTAAACTATAACCTTTTTCTTTCTTTTCGTTAGCACATTTTTAAAACAATTATACAATGTATTTTTAAGATCTTTAAGTTTATTTTTTTTTTGTAAAATATATACTTTTAAAGTTTTGAATAATTAATATTTAATTATTTATGAGCTAATGGATTACCTATAAAAAATATACTCGGTATTTTAGTAATTCAACTGTCCGTAAAAAAAATGTTGATGTACTGTTAACCTTTTCAAGTACATGCATGCATGCACGCTCGGCCAGAGTACGTATTACTGTTTATTGAAAGAAAAAAACATTCAATATGAGAGAAGGACTCTCATATCGAAACTTATTAAAAGAGAAGTGAGGCTCGAACTTAAATCGACTAGCCCACATCTTACGGTATTAGCCGAAAGACCGGGTCTTTCTACGTATTGCCATTTCTGTGACTACGTCTTTTTGTTTTTTTAAGAAGAAGAAAAATAAGAAGAGGAGGAGTAGTGAATTAAGGCAGCGCTCGAGCTGGCTAACCACTGCCAGAGTTGGAAAATAGGAAGGTTGCCATTGAATTCTCTGATGGACTTTTCGCTCCTCCCTCTTGTTATAAATAGGGGAGGGTCTTGGCGTCCCAAGAATCATAGGTGGGTGACAGAGAGAGAGAGATCTCTCCATTCTTCCCAACCCAGCAGTTCTAGCTAGCTAGCTATCTAGTTCATCATCCCCATCCACCGAGCTCGATATCCCTGGCCATGGCCATCTCCATGGCCTCTCCCTTGTCTTCTTGGCCTTGGGCATTCTTAGGCTCATACAAGGCAAGCACACTTGATCAACTGCTGCTTCAATTCTTTGTATATATATACATATCATTGCAACAAACAATTAGTATATATGTGATATAATGATGAACTGATCATGAATTCATGATATGCATTAGCAATGGCTGTTTGGCTAATTGATGGATGGATTGTGGATGATATATATGCAGTATTTGCTGTACGGGCCGGTGGTGGGGAAGGTGGTGCAGGAGTGGAGGGAGCAAGGGAGGTTGCCGCTGGGGACGTCGTGGTGCCTCCACCTCATCCTCCTCCTCGCGCTCCGGTCGCTCACCTACCAGCTATGGTTCTCCTACGGCAACATGCTCTTCTTCACCCGCCGCCGCCGCGTCGTCGACGACGGCGTCGACTTCCGCCAGATCGACACCGAGTGGGACTGGTAATTAATAATAGTAGTAGTAGTAACTTTTTTTTTACCTCCCTCTACTTAGTTGATTACTGTTCTCGTTTGGCTTTTTGTGATCGGGTCATGGTTATGCGCTATCTAAAAGGTACCGTAGATGATTCTCTGTGTAAGTACTTTGGGTCTCTGTTTATAAACAGCAGCATAACTTCAGCTTTTAATTCTTCTTTGAAGTCGATCGGTAGTATTTACTGCTCATGTCCAAGACAGTAGTAATTGCAGATAGATTCCTCCTGGCTAGGAAGCTACCAGTACGACCAAATGTAATGGATGACCCGTTTCATCATGCTATGAACACGAAGCTGGTGTTTAGATTATGGATGTAAAGTTTTTGGTGTGTCACATCAGATATTACATACGGTGTCGCATGTGGTATTCAGGTACTAATAAAAAAAACTAATTACATAATCCGTTAATAAACTGCGAGACAAATTTATTAAACCTAATTAATATATTATTAGCAAATATTTACTGTAACACCGCATTGTCAAATCATAGAGTAATTAGGCTTAAAAATTCGTCTCGCAAATTAGTCGTAATCTGTATAATTAGTTATTTTTTAGCCTATATTTAATAATTCATACATATGTTCAAACGCTCGATGTGACATGCGAAAGTACGATGCTGCCTACAGGCCGGCTATGATTAATTGGCTAGCCGACTCGCACATATCTACAGTTTACATATATACTTTAAACCGCTAGGAATAAATATATAAATGTTCTATTAACATCTTTTTCATGTATTTCTCTACGTCTTATCGACCTTAACTCAACCAAACCAAACACAGGCTTAATAAGGTCTGAAGGGAGGACCAGCCAATTAATGAAAATTAAGTTTCGGTTTAATCTATTATACTCATATAGTAGTATAGTTAGCTCCTTTTTGGGTTTAGATGTGCCATGAGGCCCATGATATATATGGTGTATCAAATCATGCATATATCCCGGTCCATAGCTTAAGACCATGAAGTGTTGAAGACCGTATCACGATTGGAGGTTGGGAGTAAATGCTCGCGCAATAACTCCATCTGCATTTCGGTGGCCGTGTTGGTCTCGATTGCGAAGTGAGCGAGCGAGTACCAGTAGCAGCATGTCGTAACGTGGTGCCATTCAAAGCGCACGAGATCACGGACATGTGGCACGAGGATTCAATGGCAAATCATTTATCACCATTTGTAAGAGTGGAAAATAATTAATTATTCATCGACACACCACACCACTCTTGCTTTTGCTAATGCACCTTGACAAACCATAAACCATGTACAATTTGCTCCTACCTCCATCACAAAATATTACTACTATGTAGAATGGGTCAACAGATCTATATGAAATCTTCGTTCACAATCGTTGTTTTAGAATGAGTCAAAATATTCGTTGTTATTCTATCTCAAAATATTCTAGACTACAAAACTCACCATCATTGTATCGTTGTTGTCGGATCTCCTCTAGTGGACGAAGAGAGTTCAACTTGTCTACGATGGTTGAATGCCACTTCCATGCTCTTATTATCTCAAAAAATATATATGTAAATCATGTATGATATTATCCCATTTTGATTGTTATCATTAATGTGATGTGAGATATCTTTGAGTCTGTCATTTAATTTGGATGATCTTTTTTTTTCAGGGATAACATGGTGATCATGCAAACCCTAATCGCGGCGGTGCTGGTCACCAGCCGTGTCTTCCCTGCCACGTCGGATCTCTCGGCGTGGGACCTACGTGGGTGGGCCATCGCTGTGGTGCTGCACGTGGCCGTTTCAGAGCCGGCCTTCTACTGGGCCCACCGGGCCCTCCATCTGGGCCCACTCTTCAGCCGGTACCACTCCTTGCACCACTCCTTCCAAGCCACCCAAGCTCTCACAGGTAACAATAATACCCTGAAATTAAAGTTCTTTTCGTACAGCTCCAACTCCTAAATATAACTCCAGAAGTTGAGTCTGGAGTGGAGTTGTGAAGAAGAGCTCTACCCAACTCCACTCTTAATTTTGGTGGAGCTGAAACTGTTTGGCTGAGCTCAGCTATGCCAAACAGCCCCTAATTTTCATCTACAAACTTTATTAATTACTCCCTCTATATTTTAATGTATGACGCCGTTGACTTTTTAATCCACGTTTGATCACTCGTCTTATTCAAAAATTTTATGCAAATATAAAAATACTTATATCATGCTTAAAGAACATTTGATGATAAATCAAGTCATAATAAAATAAATTCTAATTATACAAATTTTTTGAATAAGACGAAAGGTCAAATGTTTGTCAAAAAAGTCAACGGCGTCATACATTAAAATACGGAGGGAGTACTTATTAGCGTCTAATTTCGTTTTGGGAGTACCTATACATCTTTCGAAATATTTTTATGATTGTATCACACAGATTTTTAATCTTTAGATTAAAATATGATAGATATAATAAAAAATAAAAAGCAATTAAGAAACACCATAATGGACACTAAATTACCATATCCTCAAGAAAAAGACCAAATCCAATACAAAATTTAAAATTTATATGCGAAGATTCAAAAATTACAGTGTAACTTACAAAAGTTACAGTGTAAGTTTTATAAATTACACTGTAACTTACAAGAGTACAAGAAAATGCACTGTAAATTTGAGTGAGAAAATCGAGTGAGAGATAAGAAAAAAATCTTTCGAGTGAGATATAGCAAAATCGTTTCGTTTTTAATGATGTGTTTAATTAACTGCTTGATTAATGCAGCTGGGTTCGTGACGCCATTGGAGAGCCTGATCCTGACGCTGGTGGCGTGGGCCCCACTTGCAGGGGCCTTCATGGCGGGACACGGCTCCGTGAGCCTGGTCTATGGACACATCCTCCTCTTCGACTACCTCCGGTCCATGGGGTACAGCAACGTCGAGGTCATCTCACACAAGACCTTCCAGGATTTTCCCTTTCTCAGATACCTCATCTACACACCATCGTGAGTCCTCTAATTTACATACTATTCATAATATCATCCAAACTGATCCACTATGTTCCCTTACCTCGCTCCACTAATTTATATTTATTCAAATTAGGCCATATTTGATTTAAACTACTAAACAGATTGTTGACAAATTAAATATTTCAAAAAATAAATTTAACAGTAGCTTAAAACAAGTTGTCTAAATAATAGGCTTCTTTTCTTGAAAAAAATATTTTGTGAAGTGCAAAGCAAACAATTTGTTAAAATATATAGTCTGGTGAATAATAAGCTAATTAAGATAACAGGACAAACATTTTTAGTAGAAATTTAGTACAATATGTGTGTAGTGTGTTGTGCGCATTCTACACCCTTTATTTTCCATACCATATACTCCGTATTTAAAAACTTAATAGGTACCATATGTACAGTACTTTCAATACGAATCCGGTAGGGAAAAAACATACGGTATATATTTTTCCTTTATTTTACATATGTACTTCGTACTTATTAGCAGCGTATTTTCTTAATTAACACCATTTAATGTCGCATGCTCCCGTGCACGCGTCTGGATAGAGGCCTATATGTGTACAGAGCGACATGTCCAGTGCACTATAGTCGAAGGCACCAAGTCATATATCTGTATGTGGTGTCACCATGCAATTAACTCGAAAAAGATTGCACTTAGACAGCACAAAAATATACCAAAAACTGCCAAATTAATTGAAGTGTCACGCCCATTGGCCAATGTGGCGTCCACTGTCATGTGTCGACCTTAATTAGTTATATTAAGGCATCTCTGGATAAAACATATAATTTCTGTTTCCAAAATTGTCAACGAATTAATCAAGTTGTCGCAGTGATGGCGAAGTTCTTGCATTTCCAAAAAAGGCCTTGCTTGCATGAGAAATAAAAAGATTGATACTATGAAACATTGAAGTAAATGAATAATGGACTATCAGATTTTGTAATATTATCTACTCGAGGGTCCAAACAAGTGCATATTGTAAGGTTCAAAAGTTTTTTTTTTTAAAAAAAAAAACTAACGAGCTTATATATAGAAATCATAGGAGCTAAGGAAGTGTGTCCACTATGCATTTTATTACTGTATGAGAGTCACATTGTTGGAGCATATATCACTTTCCAATTTGGAATACTCCTATATATATATGTCGTGGTCATCTAAAGCGAATGTTATCGATCCTGTCCTGGTTAACGAATGGATCAGGTATCCCTTAAACCAGTGACTGCATTAATAGCCAGGTTTGACGAGAATGGCCATATGATTTATAACCCTAATCATTGCTGCTGCGTACTGGAAACTGATAATCAATGCTCGTGATAAACTGATGGAGTACTAATCAAGTGGTCAAATGATTTAATTTTTCTCTAATCAGGTGAGTCACTGTGCATGAACAGAGCAGCTTAGATAGGGATGGGCTAGTGGTTGACAGGAATTAATTAAGAAGTTGAAACCATTGTAGGGAGGTCTTGGAGACATGATTTGCAATTTGGAACCCGGACTGACGTGACTTTTGTGTCCATTTCGACGATATTCCTAGAAATTAAGACTGCTGCTAATTAATCCTGTGGATGCTTGTGGTGATGTGTGCAGGTATCTTAGCCTACACCACAGGGAGAAGGACTCCAATTTCTGCCTGTTCATGCCTCTCTTTGATGCCCTGGGAGGGACCCTCAACCCCAAGTCTTGGCAGCTTCAGAAGGAGGTTGACCTAGGTATTAGCTACTCTCTCTATTCTAAAATATCACAATCTACTTCCTCGCAAAAAAAAAAACAAAACAATCTACTATTAAATTGGATATAACGTAGTACTACAATTTAGACAGAGAGTTTATCCATAACCCAGATTGAACTTAAAAATCGATGACCGTGTGTCTGATTGAATTGAAGAACTAATTAGTTCGAATCATATTTTTTAATTTCTGTAGGAAAGAACCATCGGGTGCCGGACTTTGTGTTCCTGGTGCACGTGGTGGACGTGGTGTCGTCGATGCACGTGCCATTCGCGTTCCGAGCGTGCAGCTCGCTGCCGTTCGCGACGCACCTCGTCCTTCTCCCGCTCTGGCCCATCGCCTTCGGCTTCATGCTCCTCCAGTGGTTCTGCTCCAAGACCTTCACTGTCAGCTTCTATAAGCTCCGCGGCTTCCTCCACCAGACCTGGAGCGTGCCCCGCTACGGCTTCCAGGTCACACGTTTCATCCAAGCCTCAAGGCTGATTTCCATTGAACTGGTTAGTGCATGCAACTTATCGTTTTATTTTTTTTAATGTCCTGCAGTATTTCATCCCTTCGGCGAAGAAGGGCATCAATGAGATGATCGAGCTCGCGATCCTGAGGGCGGACAAGATGGGCGTCAAAGTGCTCAGCCTTGCTGCACTCAACAAGGTGAGTAATAGCATCATACGGATTCGATTAATTAGCTACTCATAATTGTGTACCGATCGTACTAGCTGTACTTCGTACTGCGTTGTGAGTGATGGGTTGATGTAATTAAGCTGCTTGCAAGTGCAAGCATGTTGGTTGTCTTCCTCTAGTAGGACAAAGTCAAGTGCAGACTGTGCAGTGTTAGTAGGTTGTTGTTAGCTATAGCTCGATTAATTCCTTTATGACACGCATGTGGCCGTGCCATTCTGGTACTGTGTCCATACAGCGACGGAACTTTGGGCGAGTCGTAGTATGCAGGTAGTACAAGTGAACACCAATGTCCCAATGATTCTGTTTGTGATAAATTCTTGATTCTGGGTAGGTAGCTAAACGTCATTGGTTTGTACTGTGTACTACTCTTAGCAACGTGGTTATAATGGTTTCTTGTCAGATGTCACTGAATTTGACGGCAGGAAAGTTCAGTGAAAGATCGAATATATTAACTGAAACTGTAGTGAGTAATTCTTTTTTGTGTGTGTGTGTGCTCGACAGAATGAGGCGCTCAATGGGGGTGGCACGCTGTTCGTCCGCAAGCATCCCGACCTGCGGGTGAGGGTGGTGCACGGCAACACCCTGACGGCGGCGGTGATCCTCAACGAGATCCCCGGCGACGTCGCGGAGGTGTTCCTCACCGGTGCGACGTCGAAGCTCGGCAGAGCCATCGCTCTCTACCTCTGTAGGAAGAAGATCAGAGTCTTGGTACGTTCATCAGAAGAATGCTATAGAGAGAATGGAAGTGATTCAGCTTAGCTTACTGTTTTTGTGTTTGTTTTGTTCAGATGCTGACACTGTCAACGGAGAGGTTCATGAATATTCAGAGGGAGGCCCCTGCGGAGTTCCAGCAGTATCTGGTCCAGGTCACCAAGTACCAGGCTGCACAGAATTGCAAGGTAGTACGTACGTAAAATATAATTGAACTGGTCGGTGTATGCAACTCAATCATGATGTCTTACGACGGCGATGTCGGTCGTCGCAGACGTGGATCGTGGGGAAGTGGCTGTCGCCGAGGGAGCAGCGGTGGGCGCCGGCGGGGACGCACTTCCACCAGTTCGTGGTGCCGCCGATCATCGGGTTCCGGCGGGACTGCACGTACGGGAAGCTCGCCGCGATGAGGCTGCCGGAGGACGTGGAGGGGCTGGGGACGTGCGAGTACACCATGGGCCGCGGCGTCGTGCACGCGTGCCACGCCGGCGGCGTCGTCCACTTCCTGGAGGGGTGGGACCACCACGAGGTCGGCGCCATCGACGTCGACCGGATCGACGCCGTCTGGAACGCCGCGCTCAGGCACGGCCTCACGCCGGCGTGAACGCCGGCGACGGCGACGGCGGCTAGTAGTAACTACGTACAGCACGGGGACGCCGAATAACTTTCGTGTTGTGCGTGTGTGTCGATCGATTGTACGTTGCATTGTTCGCTCGCCCGGCTAGCTTAATTAATTATCGGGCGTGCTTGTGTTGTGTGTTGATAGCTAGCGTCGTACGTAAGAATACCGCAGAAATGACAAGAAAGAATGGATGATTCCTCGTACACTTTGGGTGATTGTTGCTCACTTTGGGAATGGTTCATCTGCATCACTGCATGTGTGTGGCGATGCGCGAGAAACCGTCGTTGCAGTGAGAGTGAGACGTGCCGCGAGTGTAGCGGCCTCCCGAATTTTTCCCGAGAGAATTGTGGGCGTCGGCCCATTTGCGGACGGACTCGCACACGCGGTTGATTTGTTCCCGGGCCACAAACAAATTGTTCCCAATCCCACGAACGGCCCAGTTTGTTCGCACCGACAAAGCTTGTTTACGTTTTGGGCCGTTTCGGACCGACAGGTGGTCTTTTTGGTCAGCAACATAGAATAACTTTTTTAAGTAAACTGGTAACATGATTGTACTTTGTTATAGTCCGGTGTCGATAGGGAAATGCCCCGGATCGGTCGCTCGGGAGAGGGAGAAATATCGAGCGCTCTCTCCCCCCACGCGCTGCCTGTCCTTGGCTCCACCACGTCTCTGCTCTCATCTGCCATTTATCTCCATCATATACTCCATTGCAACAAATTACCTATGTATTTTAAAAAAAATCTCTATTAAGGAAATTTGGTTTATTTTTTATTCCAATAAAAATATTTCATTTAGTGCACTTACAATGTTTCATTATGTATAGATTTAATGTTGCAGTGAACTGAAATATTTCATTGCAACAAAACAAATCACCCACATATTTTGGAAACCGCTATTAAGGAAATTCGGTTATTTTTTGTTCCACAAAAAATGTATCACCTAGTGTACTTACAATGTTTCACAATGTATAGATCTAATGTTGCAGTGAACTGAAACATTCTTCGCTGTTTGCTGAAAGATTGTTTATATATAAGGTGAAACAACACCCGATTTAAACGAGTGAAACATTTTCGATCTACTTAGTAAAACAATTCCGATATACCTGATGGAACATCGTGCAACATTTAAAAATAATTCAATAATAAGCTAAATTTTTTTTCGTCGGAATATATCCATGTGTGGTCTTGTTTTGAAGATTTAATTACAACGAATTTAATGGTACAATCGGATCATGATTTGGATAAGTAATTTAAGAGAAAAATCAGTTTAAAGTGGTTTTGTACGCATACGTGGCGCTGACGTCATAATGTCAGCGTCCGATTTTAACCCCCTCCCATCGAGCGCCCGAGCCGAAGTCATCCCCTTGTCCTTATAACTAAAGAGTTACTCCCTCCACTTCAGGTTATAAAACGTTTTGACTTTAGTCAAAGTCAAACTACCATAAGTTTAATTAATTCTGTAGAAAAAAATAGTAATATTTTTAACCTAAGACTAATATATTATAAAAATTTATTTAATTATAGATTTAATGAAACTATGCTGGTGTTGTAAATTTTACTATTTTTTCTACATAATTAGTCAAACTTAAAGTAGTTTGAATTTGACCAAAGTGAAAACGTCCTATAACCTATAAAACGGAGGGAGTATTATATTAAAAAACATATAAACCGGTGCTTAAAGAAAATGGACCGCGTGGAATCGGAGGTAGAAGTTATAGGACGAGTCTGCTTTGAAAAAAATCTGATATAGGAGGTAGAATGTTTTTGACTGTCATGAAAAGAAGTGGTCCGTGCAGCGACAAAAAAGCAAAGAAAGTGTCACGCCGTGAATTTGATCAATGTCGTTTTTTTTTGCAGATGATGAAAAGAAAAAAAATAATTATGTTTAATTTTCAAATTAAACATTGGTTCATTATAAGATTTCAGAATCAGTAAATATCTATTGAAGAAAGAGGTGTAAAACTTTTGATTTTTCAGCCATCGGATGCATGGTAAGCGCTTGATATAATTTCTAAAATCGAACACGGACTTGCGTGGAGACGAATCGTTTTCACGGCTCATGCGTGGACGATAGATGGTGCGGACTCTAATATGTAGTGTTCTACAAATGACAAAAAGAAAAAAATATGTTTAATTTTTAAATTAAAAACTGGTTCATTATAAGATTTTAGAATCACTATACATCCGTTGAAGAAAGAGGAGCAAATAGATGGTGCGGACTCTAATATATCGTGTTTTGCAGATGACGAAAGAAAAAAAAATAATACGTTCAATTTTTAAATTAAAAACTGGTTCATTATAAGATTTCAGAATCACTAAGGTGCTAGTGGCGGAGAGAAAAAAATTGCGCAACAATCTAGCGAGAGGCAAAGTAATAATAGGATTTGAGATGTGGGAGACAAAGTAGACTTATTCCGAGTAGGATTTGAAATGTGGGAGGCAAAGTAGACTTATTCTGAGGCAAAGTAATAATAGGATTTGAGATGTGGGGGGAAAAGTAGACATTTCGAGCAATCTAACCTGAGAGAGGCAAAAAAAAAGTAATAATAGGGATTTGAGTTGTGGGAGGCAAAGTAGACTTATTCCGAGGCAAAAAATAAAAGTAATAATAGGGATTTGAGTTGTGGGAGGCAAAGTAGACTTATTCCGAGCAATCTGGGATGAGAGAGGCAAAGTAACAATATATGTGTAGAATGGAGAGGTGGTGGGAATCGAACCGTGGTGGTCAGGTTGAAGATTTCCTCCACAAACCAAGTAGGCAGGCTGCTAGTTGTGATTGGTGGCTACATGAGCATACATATTGTATATCAACCGAGATTTTAGAGTAGATTAGAAAAGGTCCGATCCGACTATTAAGCGAAGTAAAACGGATTTTTGGCAACGTGATCTGCATGACGGACGAAAAAAAAAAATCCGGAAACCTTACTTATTTTTTTATTAGGTATACTAGAAAAAAATACCTGTGTATTGCAACGGGTAAAATTATTTTTCGATCGCTATACATTTTTCTTTGGTTTTGGATAAATACTCATTCCTTATTTACTTTATAGTCCCAGCCCAGTCCGCTACCTCCCTCTGCTGGGCCTACCTCTCCTGCCTCTCTAAGACCTAACCCACAAGTGTAGCTGCAATTCTAGCTCACATAGTCAACTGCCGTCTTCAACCTCTAGAAGACAGTCTCGTGTCCATACGATGCCAAAACCGATCCTCCCCATCAAATTCGGTCGAATCTGTCTCGATCTTCTAAAATTGGATGAGGACTTTTGATACACTCGATCTCCTCTTTTTGTTTTTATCAAAATCGGAGTGAATCCGCAAAACTTGATAAAAAATGACTTTCAATTAGAGATTAAATTCGGTGAATTAAAGCAGAATTGAATGTGGAAAATCATGAGAAAATGATGAGAGAGTAGTGGGGAATTGATTTTTGCAACTAATTGGATGAGGGAAAGCATAGAAAACTAATTGATTTTTGTCGACGTGACGACAGCGCTAGGGTTTGACCCGACGACGAAAAAATATGGCAGATAAAAAAATCCTACCAAAAAAAGTAAAAATAAAATAACGGATAAAAAACGAAAAAATAGGGAAAAGGTAAAAAAAATGGAAGGAAAAAATAGACGGACGGAGAGAAACGGAAAAAAAAGCGGGCGGAGAAAAAAAAAAGGAAAAAAAGGGGCGAGAACAAATGGGAAAAAAAAGTAGACGGAAGGAAAGGAAAAAACGGAAAACCAAAAAAAAAAAGGGGGAAAACGAAAAGCAAACGGATCGGAAAAAAAAAGAGGAAAACGGTGAAAAAGAATGGACGGACGAAATTTTTTTTACCGGAAGCTTTGCTTATTTTTTAATTAGGTTTAGATATATACTAGAAAAGATGCCCGTGCGTTGCAACGGGTAAATACATTTTTCAATGATATATTAAGAGCTAAGTTTGCAACGGGTAAATAATTTTTTCAGTGATATATTAAGAGCTAAGTAATAAACTGAAATATTGTGATCACTATACACTAATAATTGAAAAAGTTAATAAAAATCTTAACATTGGCATTGCTATAATGTTAATGAAAATATTTCCTGGGTTTTTGCCAAAAGCCTTCCTTCTTTTTCAGCCTAGGCTAGTCCGCTACCTCCCTCTATTTAGTCTGCTTCTCTTCGACCCTACCATCTTCAATTTCCCGAATATGACTACCATCTTCAACCTCCTGAAGATAATCACGTGCCCGTAAGTTTGCCGGAGCAAATCTCCCCATCAAATCCGTCCGAATCTTTCTTGGTCAACCAAAATTGGTCGAGGGTTTTTATCCACTCGATCTACTCTTTCCGTATTCCCCAAAATCAGAGTGTAAAACTCGGAATAAAAATGACCGGGGAACATTACCGTCATCATCGGCATCAAATCCGGCCAAATCTTTCTTGGTCAACCAAAATTGGTTGAGGGTTTTTTATCCACTCGATCTACCCTTTCCGTTTTCCCCAAAATCAGAGCGTAAAACTCGGGATAAAAATGACCGGGGAAGATTGCCGTCATCATCGGCAACTGTTGAACAGAGATTAAATCTAGCAATTAAAGCCAAATCGAAGGGAAAATCATGGAGAAAATGATGAGAGAGGAGTGGGGAAACGTTTTTTGCAATTAAATTGGAGGACAAAACACAAAATCGATATGGCGGCGGCGCGGCGCTAGGGTTCACCTCGGAAGGCGTGCAGCGAACAGATGAGATTATAAAACTGGATGAGAAAAAAAAAAGCGCACGGGAGAAAAACTGGCGACAAAAAAGATTGACGAAAAAAACTAAAAACGCCCGAGAGGCGCGCAGTGGACAGATCGGATTAAAAAAGGGACCAAAAAAAACAAAATCCTAAGCATGTGCGCATAAAAAACTTTTTTACGTGCAAAGAAAAAAGGAAAAAAAACGGACTTTTTTTTTCCTGGCAGATTTATTTTTCCTTTTTCTACGGGAGTCGGACAAGAGATGTTTTTTTTTCTTTTTTTTTAACTGACAACGACCAAAGCTTTTTTTTAAGGGAAAATCGGAACCATGCCATTATAATTTTATAAAATTTGAGATATGCCATTTTGACCTACATGTCATTGACTCATATGGGTCTTATATGTCATTGAGATACCGATGGCATATCTCAAACTTTGCAAAATTATAATGGCATGGTTCTAATTTACCCTTTTTTTAATCGCTTGTTAAGTCGGACTTTCTTTTATTTCTTTATTTACCTTTTTTTAGTCGGACTTTTTTTCTTTCTTTCTTTTTTACAGAAGACGGAATCTATTGTAGTAGAGATATAGATTAAAACTGAAAAATAAAATTAAAACCGTTTCAAACACAGATGACGTACCAAAATTCTGGTAAAAACATCTTAAACTTTTATAATAGGTAAATATATATATATATATATATATATATATATATATATATATATATATAGTTTAGTTAAGATGAAATTCATTGCGGGAGTTCGCTTGGATATATATATTTTTAGAAAATCATGAGCTGCAGGTAGGAGTCCGATCGTCTCAAGTTAGTATGCGAGTTCTTTTCAACAGATTTCTTATAATTCCATCTATATTACCAAAAGTGAACGATCTTGAAAACCGACTCAAATACGGTTATGTATTTCCAAAAGCAAACAAACTTAAAAACCAACTTATACGAGATTTAGTACATTATAATATCGTGAGTCTGAATAAATTCATAATAGTACGACGTATTATAGTAGGTTCTCTTTATGAAAGGAAGGAAGTAGTCCTCTTTGGACTGACTTGATTCTGTGATCGTTTTCTTCGGTTGAGACAAACAGAAGCAGGCTAACCTAGGAACCACATGCGCACGTGACAGGTGAGACTCCCTACAAAGTGCAATGTGATTAAGAAAAGCAAACATATCAGTTTTGCTGACTCCTGATGATAAAAAGGTTTTACGCAAAGCAAGAACCATGCTGTCTAGTGTCTACGGTAGCAAAAAGTGCAGAGCTTTTTTCTTGACACTGAACGAAAATTGCTACTCGCTGTAGCCCCTCTCAAAGATGGGTGAGAAAACGGTGGCGGAAAAGTTTGGTGAGATATTTTTAAGGAAGAATTTCATCACTTTCGAAAAGAATGGCATGGCCTTTCTGAACTGTCTCATCTGTCCCTTTGCTTTATAGAGAGGCAAAAAGCAATAAGCAGGTGATGGCATGCAAATCAAGAACAAAAGATGAATAGCAAGTGATGACAACGACTACATAAAACTGGTAAGCTATTGAAAGAAAATTCTCACTAACTATTGATGGAAATTATGTGCCTTTGAGGTGGTATTTTAAGTATTTTTTAATTAAGTCATAGTTTCATAATTCGTAATCAGTTTTTTAAAATAAAAGAAAAATGTATTCTCTAGGAAATAAATAAAACATATTTGCGAGGATGATAGGTGCGTAGTAGTAAGCCAAATTAGAAGGCATTGCCATGGCAACTCCAGTAATAGAGTGACGAAATTTCCATTCGGCTATTTCTCCTCTCTTCAGGTTGTATGCATCTGATCTCTTTGTGCTCCCGGTTCATCCTCGTCAGAAAGAATAAATGACCGTGGACAATAACACGAGATAGTTTCACTAAATTTACAAATTGTAGATATTGACCGCATCTAGGCTGTGTTTAGATTGGCCCAAAGTTTAGAATTTGATTGAAATTAAAGGCGATATGACTGAAAAGTTGTGTGTGTATAAAAAGTTTGATGTGATAAAAAGTTGGAAGTTTAAAAAAAAACTTTGGAACTAAACACACCCCTACTTTACTACTCCATACAAAACGGCTTGTTCTTTTTGTCAGATGAATAAAAGCTCGCCGAATGGTATTACCTAAAAAAACTGACTTGTTCTTTTCTTCTTAATGAACAAATGTGTACGGTTCCCGAGCAACGGTACGATTTTTTTAAACACAGTAGCAACCGTATGATTTTGACAAGGAAATTATGTATATAAATTTCTCATAATATTATCTTTTTTTGGGGATTCTCAGAATATTATCTAATACTATTTTTTAACTAAATAATAGTTCATACCTCAAATAATGATCACAAATCGTTCACCTATTAAAGAAAGAAGTATTTAATATGTTCCTATCCTATTTTTATAGGATTTTGGATTAAAAAAAAGGCAGACCGTTTACCATTCAGTTGCTAAGGGCTCTTTTAAAAAAAACGTAAATATTAGAGAATGATCTAATATCAAATATCAAGTAGTTAGAAGGGATGAGGTTTTAAACCCAGGTTGTTTAGCCCACCACCTTGTGAAGCTAGCCGGAAGACCCCTGAATGTTTCTCGGCTCTTTTACAGTATAGGATTGTGGAAACATATGAATAGGAAAACATAGGAATCAAATATCATGCTTATTGGATTTCTACAAAATTTCAAACACACAAAACTTTAAAAATTATCGTTTAGTTGACTCATGGAAAAACATAAGGATTCGATACACAAGTAGTAAACACGTGAGGTAAGATCTTGTACTTATTTTTCTTCAAAATTACTCTAGAATTCATTCCGTATGAATTTGATAGATTGGAAATAATCCTTTGTTCCACATGGCTCTATAAAGATTGTCTCCTAGAGGATAAATTCTCTGGAATTTCTTTATCTTTCTTTTGAACTTATACATTTTTTCTCTGTTTCAAAGGGGGCTAAGGGTGTGTTCGGCACCCCTTTTCCCAACCTCTCTCTTGTTTTCCGCGCACACGCTTTTCAAACTGCCAAATGATGCATTTTTTGCAAAAAGTTTCTATACAAAAGTTACTTAAAAAAATCAAATTAATCATTTTTAAAAAAAATTAGCTAATACTTTATTAATCACGCGCTAATGGATCGCTCCGTTTTCCGTGCGGGAGGGATTAGTTCACATCCCCCTGAAACCGAACACAGCCTAAGTCTCATGTCAGCTTTTGCTATACCACCCCTAAATTTATGGCCCCATCGTTTCGCTTATTCGGGAAATAAGCGAAACAATATATTTGCAAACGAAAAATAATTTGTAAATAAAATTTTTATATACGTGTTCTTAGCAATCTAAAAGCAAATGTTGAAAAATAAACTTCGATGTAAAAACCCCAAATTCAACTCCGAATTTAAAGTTAAAAAATTTAAATTTTGGCTAATAAGTGTAATATAATCATAAGCTATAAGATTAGTACTACCTCCATATTTTAATGTATGACGCCGTTGACTTTTTGTCCAACGTTTGACCATTCGTCTTATTCAAAAAATTTATGTAATTATTATTTATTTTATTGTGACTTGATCCATCATCAAATGTTCTTTAAGCATGATATAAATATTTTCATATTTGCACAAAATTTTTAAAGAAAACGAATGGTCAAACGTTGGTCGAAAAGTCAATGACATTGTAAATTAAAATACGGAGGGAGTTGCCGTTAAGTACCAACTCCCAAGTCACAAAAGGTGACCGTTTCTGTTTCTAACTCAGTCTACCTAGACGTGCACTCCATAATTTGCAAACCCTCTAGGGGTGTAGCAGCAAAAGGAAAGGGCCAAGCAAGTTTAATTTAAAACCAACACGACCCGGAAACGAACAAAAAGCCAACTCCCTTTCGCAATTTCGAAATTCGAAACCCACGCTAAATACGACACGCCGGTTGCCAGCGCAGAAGTAACCCGAGGAAGAAGAAGACGACGACGAAGAAGCCAAGCGGCCGCAACCTCGCAGCCATGGCGCGGTGCAGCAACGGCCTCCTCGGCCTCCTCAACGCCGGCGTGCTGGTCCTCGCCGTGGTGGTGCTGGGCGGCGGGATCTGGCTCAGCAACCGCGCCGCCACCACTGACTGCGAGCGGTTCATGGAGCGCCCCGTCGTCGCGCTGGGCGTGCTCCTCCTTGCGCTCTCCCTCGCCGGCCTCGCCGGCGCGCTCTGCGGCGCCTCCTGCCTCCTGTGGCTCTACCTCCTCGCGCTCTTCCTCCTCATCCTCGCCCTCTTCGTCTTCACCGTCTTCGCCTTCGTCGTCACCAACCGCGGCGCCGGCTGGGTCGTCTCCGGGAGAGGGTACAGGGAGTACCGCCTCGGGGACTACTCCACGTGGCTGCAGAGGAGGGTGGAGAACTCCGCGAACTGGGCCAAGATCCGGAGCTGCCTCCAGGACGGCAAGGTCTGCGAGAAGCTTGGGGCCAGGCGCGAGACCATGGACCAGTTCGTCGGCAGCAATCTCTCCCCGATTCAGGTGAGATGAGAAAGCCTAACTCTGTTCTTCTGTTTCTATAAACATCCATGTGAGTTGTTGAATTTCGACTGTTTAGTTCTCGGATTGGGGATTTAGCGGGGGAGATTTGTGGATTGACAGTTGTTGCGACGATATTTTAGTACTGCAATTTTCTTTAAAAGTGGTATTGAATCCCCTTGCGACGGTTGAATTTTGGGGATTGGAGTCGATCAAATCTTTAGGACATGAAATTTTCGATGGATTTGGGCATGCATACAACTGCCTTAAATTGTTGTTTGGATCTCATCGGACTTGAGTTGGTACATTTTGTGGACTCAATCATAATTCCTAGGACTGGTAGAGCATGTTATACATGTGACTCCTGAGTTCGTACAGATAGTACTCTTGATTTCATATGCTGCATTATGGATTAACTCCTCAATTTGTACAGCATTATCTTCAATTATGTACATATACTATATACTATTATTCTCATCATCGCTTTACCGGCATAGTGTACAATGTGCCTTTTTTTTTCCTCAAAAAAGGGCTTGTTCTTTGTTGCAAACTTGCAATTACTTATCTATGGATACAGCCAGCAACTTAGCACAATATTTTCTGGTTGCATGCCATTTTAATACTGGAGGGGTTGGTAAAGATTAACAGAAGATTCGAACTTGTGGTATGGCAAATTGGTAATAAGTAATTCTAGCAATCTAAACTGGATTTCAGTTTGGCAATTGATCAATGGCATATTTCTGTATAAATTGTGAAATTGTTATTTCTTCACATAGAGAGGTTGTTGATGTAGCAGTTTTATCATACATTAATTCTCTTTGAATTTGGCCTGGTAGGTCATTGCGGTTAAAAATGCATATATTTTAATTTGCCCATGCTGCATGCCTGATTTTTTTTGTTGCTGATTTTGGTTGTAATTTATGAAATTTAAACATCTGATCTTATTGTATTGATAACTTAATGCGTCTGAATCCTCCTTTAGCTTGAATTGGCATGTTAGCTTTTGCCAAAATGTCAATACATGGTGCAGCTTTTGATAGTCCATTGCTTAGCTTAATATGTAAACCTGTGCCTTTATTTTTAATCCAGTGATAGCTACCTTTTGAGGCTTCATAAGCACTATTCCACTACTATCTTTGCTCACATGATACTTCTTTTAACATCATCTATATCTTCAGGCATATTGAGCAATTAGTAAACTGCATGTATTCTTTTGTCCTTAATATTCAACCTCTTGATTTAATTCAACGTAATACTACTGTGCTGATGATGTGGAACATGGATAATCTTATGCGCACTGTCATTTACCTTGTATAATTGTATTTCAGCCGTGCCTTTAGATTTTGAATGGCCTGAGCTTTCATCTTTTCATCAGTATAAGAACTATACTAAACTATCCAAATATGTTTTCTGCAACTAACACACCTACATCATATCCAGTCTGGATGCTGCAAGCCCCCAACAGGATGCAACTTCGCCTACGTGAGCGAGACCGTCTGGACCAAACCTTCTGGCTTTAACTCTACCGATGACCCGGACTGCACGACATGGTCGAATGATCAGACCGCCCTGTGCTACGACTGCCAGTCATGCAAAGCTGGTGTGCTCGCTAACCTGAAGAATGACTGGAAGAAGATTGCGACTGTCAACATCATCTTCCTGATCTTCCTCATCATCGTCTACTCCGTTGGGTGCTGCGCTTTCAGGAACAACAGGCGGGACAACTCGTACCCGGCTTGGAAATGATCTGCATTGGCGATGTATAGGTTCTTAGGTCGTGTTCGGTAATGTTTAGCTCGCTCGCGTTTCAAGCAACCCTGTCGTATATCATGCCTTACTGTTTTATGCATCAACCGCTGCTAGTTGAAGCATGGTTGCTATCTTGCCTACATGATGTATGAATTGAAGGCTTATGAAAGATATGTTTGGTCAAATTCCTTTGTGGCCTGGCGGCATAGTTTATTACCTGTTGGTTCATAGTACTGTTTCTGTGTTTCTGTTCTGCATCTTGCAGGTGAATGTCGGAACCTTCATGGATTCTTTCTCCTTACAGAGAAAACCAGTCCTTTTTGCAATATCATCCAAAATACAGAAAGCTGTTGCAGTGCTGCTAATTGCTAACTTTTTTTTTTTTGCGGGGCTGCTAATTGCTAACTGCTAAGGAGTAAAGACTGATGCTATTGGATTCCTTCTTGCAGTAGGAGCTTGCATTTGATTTAACCTTTTGGTATTCAAGTTTGACATGAAAAGCTCGTTAACCTTTAGGCCCTCGTTGATTCAAAGGAAATTTATAGAAATTTTTAGAGGATTTCTTTTCTATAGGAATTTTTCCTATATAGCCATTTGAATTAAAGGAATAAATCATATGGAATCCTATGAAATTCCTATGGAATGCCTAATGCCATACAAGTTTTTGGAGGAAATCTAACATGAAGTTCTACCTCATGGAAACTTTATTTTATCTCTCCTCTAATTCCTATGTTTTTCCTGCGGTCCAATCAAACGGTCTTTCATGTGTTTTTTTCTGTATTTTGCAATTCTCTGTTTTACACTTACATTCATATCAAAACCCTAAGTTTTTCCTATTCTTACGTTTTCTCAATCCTGCTATTGAAAAGGGCACTTACTGCAATTGCTACCAATAACATTCACCTTGTCAACTGTGTCTTGTTGAGTTGCATCCTCTGTGTTGGCGCAAGAACAAAAATGTCGTTTTCACATTTGGTCCACAATATACAACAGGCTTGCAAGGAAGAGCCCCACATGTACTGATGATGTACATGCTGTGTGCATGTGAATGGACGTACAATATTCCTGTATGATCATGCCCATATCTTTTGTACAAAGTCCTGTATATCTCCACGTTGTCCTGGAAAATTCACTAAAGAAGCCGTTACATTTTACTGCATTGTTTATTTGGCTGCATTATAGTGAACAATATTAGCTTTATCTCTACATTTAACTTTGGATCTCAATGCTGTCATTTCTCGTCAGATATCATCAGAAATGTTGGAATATCTTCTCATGGAAAGAGCACATAGCAGGTAAATTTTACACATTATTATACACTATAGCCATTAGTTATTATTATACATGGTAATTAAGTGAGATTCTGGAAATCCTCCGATAAGGCGATAAATGCAACATAGACCATATATGCAAGGATGATTTAGGAAAGATCAGTCGACAACATGTCACTGCTGGAAAATTAAACATGACACCCACCCAGAAATTTCTCTGATGATCTACAAGATTGTTTCTATCCTCCCAATACAACAGTAGATAGCTAGCTTACAATCCCCTTACTGATCTCCCAAAGAACATGATAAAATCCTGATCCATCAACCGATTGTTCACCATTTTGTACAAGATAATTGAGGGATGCATCCCTGGTCACCATAATTTCCAGTGTCCGTCTGCAATGGCACAACCCTAATCTTCTGAAAGAGAGCACAATCAATTCATCATCGCTTCATATTCATGCTCGAATCCTCCTCTCCTTTCAAGGCACATTTAGACCAAGAATAATCCCTGCGTATTACATAACCGAATTAAGACATACAAAAACAGATCATTAACAGATGAAATTGGAATCAAATTAACCATGCACAAGAAACAAAACAAATCTGAATCTACGAAATGCAGTGAGACTGTGAGAGTTCACAGAATCACAGGTTAGTTTGATAGTTTCAGTGCTTAATTTGTAACACACCGGAGAGAGGTGGACGACGTGTATCGTCTCTGAAGCTGCACGGCTTCCGAGACGCGGCGGAGGACGTCGACCTGCGCGCGGAGGTGGACGACGTAGTCCATGGCCTCGCGGAGCAGCGCCGCCTCGTCCATGGCGTCGCCGCCTCCGGGTATCACCTTCCGCAGCGCCATGGCCCTCCTCCTCACCTGCAGCCTCCTCGCCATCTCACCACCACCACCTGCACCTGATCTCGTCTTCCGGCCGCAGCACCGCCTCACGATCCTCCCGCACCGCCGCGCCCTGGCCGTCGTCGACGCCGGCTGCTGCTGCAAGACGATGGCCTTGGGCCACCGCGCGCCGCCGCCGCGCGCCGTGGCCATGGCGAAGTCGGCGGAGGACTTGACGGCTCGCTTCCTCTCGTGGAGGCTCATGGCGTCCAGGGGCTTCGTCGTCGAGCAGTCTTGGAGGCTCAGGAGGAGGTTCTTGAGGAACGCTTGCTCGAACGACATGGTGCTACTAGCTCCGGGGCCTCCCATGGCGCCTACCTTACTTTGTTGGCTATAGCTTGGTAGCAAAAGTAGGAAGAGATGTTGTTGCAACGCTGAAATGCACAGGTAGGAGCTAGGAGGAGAGCTATGCAAATGGCACTACACCTGTTACTATAAATACGCGTCCCCGGCATTATAGCCGGGGACGGATCCTGATCACTCGAGAGGATGTGTCGTCATTTCTCGGCATAACTGTGGTTTGTGGGATAAACACACATGACATGTGGCTGAAACACAATCTCTGATATATTCTCTCATGCGTGTGTGTATATAACCTAACCATTTGTTATATCATCATCGATCTTAACAGGACATGAAACTCTTGTTTTATTACTTATATATGTGATTGAATTAACTAAGTGACGATGTATCGAAATGTGCATGGAAATCTAGCTAGAGAACAATGGTTGGTAGGTAGGTACTAGTTGGATTGCATGAAGCCATCGATGGATCGAATTAAGATGCGCTTAAAGGGTAAAGGTAGATAATTAATTAACTCGCACCAACTGATATGTAGTGCCGTAGTGGTAGCTTAATTTCTACTACTCCCTCCGTTTCAAAATATTTGACACCGTTGACTTTTTAACATATGTTCGACCGTTCGTCTTATTCAGAAAAATTTGTGAAATATGTAAAATTATATGTGTAAATAAAAGTATATTTAACAATGAATCAAATGATATGAAAAGAATAAATAATTACTTAAATTTTTTAAATAAGACGAATGATCAAACACGTACTAAAAAGTCAACGGTATCAAACATTTTGAAACGAAGGAAGTAATATGTTTCCTTGTCACAGGATCAAGCGAGATTTGGCTGGAAAGGGAGGGGTGAGTGAGCGAGAGAGAGCGAGACAAGGCGCACATGGCCGCACATGTAGCGTTTCAGCGCGCGCGCGGATGGCACTTGGCGCTTTGGCAGCGCGGCGCGGCATGCATGCACAGCCGCTCGATCGGAGAGGAGAGGAGGAGATGGATGGGCATGGCGATCGATCTCTGCATGATGTGTTGTCCGTGTTGCCTCTTGGTCTGCACCTCAAGGGAGGCAGGCAGGCAGAGCCGCAGAGGGACAGAGAGGCGCGTGCATGTATGTGTGCGTGCGTGTGCTTCTCGCAATCTCTGCAGAGTTAAGCTTGTAGCTGTAGGCATTGGCACTGTCATTGAGCATGGCATCGGCGTATCGCATTTGCCAAGAGCTTAATCTTTCAGACACGACGAGCTTGATAGCATTTGCGGCTAGAGTCCTCCGTTCGTTTCATATTATAAATCGTTTTAAACTTGAGCAATTTTACGGTCCTTAAGTAGATACCATGAGTTATCTAAAGGATCGTAAAATTACTCTTTAAACTTAGTTACAGTTAAACTATTCTAAACTTAACCTAACTATTCTAAACTTAACCTAAGACAAATATATTATAAAAATATATTTAATTATAGATTAAATGAAACTAATCTAATGTATAGATATTAGTATACTCCTGCTTACAGATTTGATCAAATTTAGAGTGGTTTGACTTTAATAAAGCTAAAACCAACTTATAATCTTAAACGTACTCCTCCTATAGACCGGTTCTACTACTATGCATGTGCAGGAGGAAGCTAGAACGAAGGAAAGTTCCTAGAAACAAGGGCAATGGAAGTAAGGATATACTACTTCCATATCGAAATTGGCGGCCGGCCATCGCTTAGCTTTTTCTTCAGCGGCGGTCTGGCTGGCAGTTGCTGCTGTGAGAAAGGCAGGCAGATTGCTGCTTCACATGGGCGCTCACATGGATCGTTTTGATCCGTCGACTGAAAACTTGGTTTGGGGGAGGCGAACTGCATGCACATGATCAGCCTGCCCACCCGCCTCTCTGGTCAGTAAACGCACTGCAAGCAACGACGTAAGGTAACAGAAAATAAGGCTACCACCGTTTTTTTTTTCGCAATGCTTGGAAGGACGAACGACATGCCAATTTTAGGGTGTAGCTATATTTATGGCGTCACATTTTTCACTAAAAAATAGTCGGCATGTATTTACATTGTAAGTTCCTAAATTACATATGTAATTTTAGTGCATTTACAATGTAAATCTCAAAATTACATATGTAAGTCCTAAAATTACATATGTAAATTCGAAAATTACATACTAATTACATATATAAGTGGGGTGTAACTACTGTGTAAGTGGCTAAGAAAAATCATCTATAGCATATGCCGTGAAGAGAAGTGAATCGGGAGGGACGATATGTGCGTGGGAGAGATCTAGCTCAGCCGGCCGGCTATGCACGCGGACCACCATGGCACCATCGCGCGGCGAGGAGACAGCCAGCTCGATCATCTGACGGTTGGTTTCAACCGACTGAAATCCATCATATTTTATGGCGACATTTTTAGCAATCCCCAAATGGAGCTGCAAATTTTGCTCCGCAAACAAGGTTACGGTTACCACCATTTTGAATGCGAGCCGTCTGATTAAGAATTGAAGTACTGTACTCCCTCCGTACTCATAAAGCAAGTCGTTTAGGACAGTGCAACGGTCTCTAAAACACAACTTTAACTACTTGTTTCTATAAAAATATCTATCTATTATATACTAAAAGTCCACTAAATTTTCTACAAACGCTTTCAGGCCGCCACGTAGGACCCCTACAAACGCTCCTAGGCTACCACGTGGCTCTATTAAATCTAACCGTCGATTTTCACTTAAATTGGTGGACCCAATATTTTAGACCATTAGATTAAATTTTCACTTAAATCAGTGGACCCGATATTTTAGGCTATTAGATTAGATGTATTTTATTTCAAAGAAACTAATTCCTTACTCTGTTACGTATTTATTATGCGGATGAGCTATATATGTCGCACGTTTTTTTTCGCTGAAAAAGAGTCGAATCTCTTGCCGTTGATGGTTTGATGTACCGTGGATAAATGCTTGAGGGATGCAACTTTCTGTCAGGGTTACGGGTAAGGTATACCCTCTACCCTTCGATATACGTCACATATCGATATGGTATACTTGCGCGTATACGGACGTTTTCGGCATACGTTAAGAAAATTCATCATGGAGTTCACAGATGGAAGGAGTCCTACTCGGACAGAACTGGGTCGTCATTGTATCGTGCCGGGTCCGATGTCTCCGAATCCTATTTGGAGACCAGTTGACCTGCGATATAAAATGGACCCCCCGGGAGGACCTAAGGCATCGAATCTCATAGTCAACCCATCCACCACAGCCTACGGAGTTGAAGCCTACAGGAGCCAAGTCGCCGGGAGATCTAATCAAACCTGTTCGATTACGATCTCGTCGGTATCATCGAGTTCCGCTTTTCCCTTTGTAATATGTGGTTTCCATCATATAATCCCATATCAACTGGATTAGGACTATTACCTATCAAGGGGCCTGAACCAATATAATCTTTGTTTTCTGTGTGCTTGATGTTGTATTACGTAGATCCTTGGACCAGCGTACCCCAGTACTCTCTATATCCGGTTTACGGGTATCCCCGTCGACACTTTCCTTTTTTATCCTTATTAATCCTTTGCCTTTTTTGATTAGCATCGGACTTTTCCTGTATGTATGATGACACGTTAGTTACGTTATAATTACATCCTATTTACACTATAATTACATACTAATTACATATGTCATTAGGTACGTAATTTTGTGATTTACATATATAATTTTGGGACTTACGTTACACATACACTAAAATTACATATGTAATTTATAGACTTACAATGTAAATATGACGCTATAAATATAGTTACTCTTTTTATTATGTATATATGGAAGAAACTTCATACGCTCAAGAAACTAACGAAGCATACCTACTGTTCGCATCAGAAGAAAAAAAACTACGCACAGAATTACCGTAAAATCAATAAGCAAAACAAAAAGCATACGTACTTAGTACCATTGGAAAAAAAATTGATGACATTTAAAATATGATTTTCTATTATTTAAAGATAAAACATATTAATCTATAAATTTACATAAATATTACCGTCGATTTTCATTTAAATTGGTGGACCCGATTAATGTTTTAGAACAATAGATTAGATGTCTAAAAGTCCATTAAACTTCCCAAAAATACTCCTAATTCACCATATGACATCCTACAAATGCTACTAAGTTGCCATGTGATACTCTAATAAATTAGTGAAATTCTTAAAAAATCTAAAATAACAAATATATTTTTATTAAATTTAGTGGACCCAATATATACAACTATTAGATTAATTTTCAAGAAAAAATTCCACTCCTAAACCCGGGCCCACCTAAGTCGGTATGTATAAGTTAGTTTTTTTAAAAAACGAACATACGTATGTACGTCTCCTCTTCCTTCAACTCATTTCTCAACTTTTTCACTCTCCTATTTTCATGCCTTATTAGTTTGATAAGCAATAATAATTTTGTGTTAAACAATTAAGCTTCAAAATCATACAACTAATTTCTGATCCACGTAACTATTTAGATTATTCATAACTAAATTACAGCTGAAGACCATATTTTACTATAATTTAGCTTTTAAAAAAAAGCCATTTTAGTTTATATTTCCTAACTTTTGCGTGCCATTCAAGCAATTATAAAAAATATAAAATAATAATAAAAATATAGATTTTATCATAATACATAACTTCATAATAATTAAATTAGGTCTACAATCATAAAAGTAAAATGAATATACAATTAGTAATGTTTCCAAAATATGTTAGGTAGAAAGCAAAACTTATGCAAAAAGTAAGCAACTATAACATCTAAATCACACAGCTAATATTAATGAACTTATGTCTTTAGAATATTTTACATTTAAAAGACCTATATACACTGTAATATCGACTTTGAGAAGAAATATGTCACTTTGGGGCTATATTAATTTTTCTAATTTTTGTGTGCCATTCGAACAATTATAAAATTATAGAAAGATAATGATATAGATTTTATCACCATATATGACTTCAAAATATTAAATTAGATCTATATGGATAAAAGTAAAATGAACCTAACACAGACCATAATATAGAATGAAAATAAGTATTATATTACCGTAAATCATTGTACATCCTCTGAGCGCACTTAAGGCGTCACGTATTACGTCTTAAATAAAAATAAAACTTTACAAATTGGAAGAAAAACCATCTGACCATCAGTTTGCACTTAAAATCTTAAGCCACCATGTGTTACGTCTTAAAAATTAGAAAAAATAACAAAAAAAAGTGACAAAAAATAGATAATCAGTTTCACTTAAATCATTTAGATAAAATAGAAAAAACCACCCCTCCACTCACCCTCGCCCCACACATACGCAGAACACGGCATTACACGTCCCTTCCCTTCTCGGCTTGAGCTCTCCACTCTACCCCTTCCTGTTTATATAGCCGGAAATAATAAAAAATATTAACACATGCATAAATTTCAAGCTATACATCTGATATCTAATATAAATATTGTTGTACTTACTATTAAAACAATGACTGTAAAGATCCATAAAGCCTATAGTTTGAACTGGTATAAAATATAAAATAAAGCAAGTAATAGAAAATGTCAATAGGGATTAAATTAAACTATTTAGAGAAAATGTAATAAGTTCGTAAAAAATTGGTTCTTACATTTCACTAAAATTGGACCAACCATTGCATATTCCATTTTCGTAACAATTTTACAATGCTTAGACATTAATGGCCTTGCATCCATCGTATATCATAGCATTATGAGTTTCTCTACATATTATTACGCATATAAACCGCACTAAGATTCGCAGTATATAGTTCATTGAAATTTTATATTTGTTACTATTAAGTTCAAAATTTTGGGTTCATGTTAACTAGGTATTTTATTTTGAAAAAGATAGTATAGATCACACAAATCACAAGGAAGCGAGGTATATGACATGTCTTTATTAATTTTTATATAAGTATGTAACAACTTGCATGAACTTAAACCAACTAGAAGGAGAAATACTTGATGGTACAAATATAACATATTTATTAACAATAATAGTTCTTTAGAATTTGTTAAAAAAGCAAGTAAACATTCTAATAAAAAAGAGGACAAAACACCTTACTTCTAATGTACACTTGATTTGTTAGACACGTTTTCCAAACAAACTAAATAGAACTTCTTTCTATATAATAAAGAGATCATAGATAATTATTTATACAGATGTATTAAATATTATATATTTTAAAACCTAACAAATATCTTGGAAAAATTATCAAAGCAAAATGACAATGAATAGCGGAGGCCTCACCTAATGTGTCTCATTCAAAAACAATATATTACTTTTAAACATGGGAGGTGTCAGCCAATTGATATTCTGTTTTTATATATATTTCAAACGCAATGTACAATACATGCCCACGCGAATGTGCGGGCTACCTTCCTAGTTTATTGAAAAGTGATATATGTATACTTTTATGAAAGTATTTTTCAAGATAAATCTATTCATATAATTTTTACATCTTCAAACTCAACAACTTGAGAGTTATTTATGATTTATATTCCCAAGGTTTGATTTAAACATTGTCCTAAACGACTTCCTTTACGAGTACGGAGGGAATATGTCTATATATATTTGGTCACTTGACTATAGTCTTGATTTGATTTTTGTTTAAAAAAGTCAGATCAAGATTATAGAGCGAAATCACATCCAGAAACATGGTGTCTTACTAATGAAATGTTATATTTGGATTGATCCGGTTTTCCAATTTTTCTTACATCTGTTTCTCCATGTCTTTCTCTCCAAACTACTCCGTCATCCTCCTTCCTCCCCCACATATCATATCTCCCGTCACCGGTGTTGAGTTGTGATCCAAATTCATTTGCATATAATAAAGGCCAGCTTCTGCTGGAGCGAAGCGGATCATTATCCTTTAGGGTTTCACCTTCATATATATACCTCTTATAAGCCGCCGTTCGGCGTTTTAACCTCACCCCGATATAGTGAAGATATTTTGCTAGCTGGCGCCCATGATATTTTCTCTCCTGCTTTGGGAGGGTTTTCCACATTAAATCTCGTGTCTTCTATGATTGATCTATTGTTCTTTATCGTTTATTGTCTATCATTTCCTAACAACCGGAAGACCAATCTCCATTGTCCTCAACACCGACATCAACCCCCATTCCTCCTCCCCGGCTAGTGAGGCCATGGGGCTATCGCAATTGATAAGGTCAGCCAGGAGGGAGGTAGTTGTTGTGACAATGTTGATGTTGTCATGGCTAAGTAGGGAGAACAGGGAGGAGGCGAGGCCAAGGGGGACGAAGTTCGAGGCACCGACGATAATATGGAGGTAGTCATCGTTCTCAGTGTGGAGGGCGATGTACATCACAGATAAAGTAGGTAAGGGGTGGTCAGAAGGTGCTTATGCGGGTCTCAAGGTTGTCGCATCGTGGTCCTCACCAGCTCATCATGCCACTCATATGTGGTGTGTGTAGATATGTCATCCTTAGTTGATATTAGGTATCAGGCTTGATATCTCGGGGGTATCATGACTTATACCCACAGGTATAAGGATTGGTACCAAAACACCAAGGTCTAGTACCTGGATAATAGCTGGTACCCATACATACTAGGTATCATGACACGAGAAAGGAGTGCACACCGTTACTGCTTGGCCGGTCAGCCACCTACCGCACTGACTCCTCCTCTCGATGCGCTCCTTCCTTCTCTACTGTTGATGTGGCCGATGAGGCAGGGAACTAGAGAATGTAGGTGCTTTTTGCTCATGGGTGGAAGCTCAGCTAGATGGCGGAGGAAAGAAAGGGGAATCACTAAAGTATCCCGTCCCCTAGTCTTTCTTAAAATTTATTAAGAAGCAAAGAAGGTGTTATAAATTATACTCCCTCCGTTTCTAAATATTTGACGCCATTGATTTTTTTTAAAGATGTTTGACCGTTCGTCTTATTCAAAAAATTTAAGTAATTATTAATTCTTTTCCTATCATTTGATTCATTGTTAAATATACTTATATGTATACATATAGTTTTACATATTTCATAAAAGTTTTTAAATAAGACGAACGGTCAAACATATGCTTAAAAAATCGATGGTGTCAAATATTTAAAAACGGAGGGAGTAACAAACATGGTTGTTATTTTATAAGGCTTTTAAAGAGAGTGTTTCCACGAGGCCATACATAGAATGGAATATACCACGAGATGATCCAACACGTTTGATATATACCCACCCACCCATCCATCCATCCATTATTATATTGTTTTGAACTCTTTTATGTAGTGTTTGTTCTTCCCACGTTGGTAATCCTAGTTCACTACAATTACTTACTTAATGTACGTACGCCAAATTGCCAACGGGGAAGAACAAGCCTTTATTGCTACACACTAGCACATCTCATTGATCATCCTCTTCTCCGGCAGGAGACATCTCGATCGATCGACACTAATTGTCGTCTCTCATCTCGTCTCAATCTATCATTGATCTCTCCATCTACTAGATCGGGAGACTCTCCCTAGTGTCTTCCAAGGTTACATAGTGCTTTCTATGACACTAGGTAAGTTACCGGGTGTAAATGGAAGGCACTAGGTAACACTACAGTCTTACCGGGTGTCCCATGTAGGCACTCCGTAACAAGGAGAATTACCGTGTGTTGGTGAGTTACACCAGGGAACGTCAGACGCCATCCATCCGATGCAGCACGTTGACCAGTGGGACTAGCGGTGAGGGAAAACTTACCGAGTCTCATCATATAAAGGAACTCGGGAACCATTCGATATGAACATGTGAAGAAACCGGGGCCCACCTGCTAGTTAATTGTGTACATCGGATGGAGATCCAATGATCTAAATTTGCTTGCCCTTTCATATATAAATTCCGAACCCTAGCACCCTCACCAACCCCTTTCTCCTCCCACTCCCAGCCGCCACCCCCATTCGCCTGCTCTCCCGAACCACCGCAGCCTCCTGCCGCTCGCCGCTCCTCAAGCTGCAACGAGGACCAACGCCTACGCCACCTCCTCGAGCTATAGCTGCGGCCGGCATCGACGCCGGTGCCTCCTCCTCTTTTCCCCAACCAACGCCGGTGTAGCACCGGTCCGCGTCCTTTTCCCTCAACCTGGGATCCTAGATCTGTTGCGCGGCCGTCCCCTCGTCAAGTCAGATGGCCCGAACCTCCGCCGTGGCTCCTCCTCAAGCCGGATGCCATGGATCTACCGCGACCGGCCCCCTCATCAAGCAACCCAACCGAGATCCGCCATGGTCGCCTCCTGGCCATGCAAGGTAAGACCTTTTCCTCCCCCGCCATCTGCATTATAGCTGCGGCATCATTAGCCACCAGCAGTAGCAAGACCTGCTTAGCAAGTCAATTAGCGACCAGTCATCTTTGGCATCTCAAGCCACATTAAAATAATTTGTCTAACTACTTACATTGGTATCAACAATGAGCTGGATGGCTTGTAGTGTAGTGAAATTGCTTCATAATGGTCTTCAAATAGTCCCTGTATTATAAGTTGACTGCCTAATAAAATTAAGAAAATACTTCTTATGATGTACTTCTGTGATGTTTTTTTTTTTACCTGGCAGGTTATTGGAGATTATTAGTTGGCTCAATTAGTGGCTTGGGCACAAGCTTTAATGCGCTTACATAGACAGGTGGATCCACGGCAGTAGCCGAGCATTCTTAACCGTGCAGTAGAGGGCGGTGCCAAAGCCTGAGCTCTGGGATGATGCAGTGATTTGGGAAAAACAAGGTGAGTACATAATTTCGGACTCTGCATCCTGTGATTATCAATGTGCTTGCAGTGGATATGACTGATGCCTAGTGCGCTACTTACAATGCTATCCCTACTTACAATGCTAATCTAAAATCATTCAAGTGGTTGTTGTACATCATTCTTAAACGTGGTACCAAGGGATATTGTTCATTTAGGATGAACTTATCGTAACCCTGAAGAGTAGCTATTTTAATTATTATATGCAAATTATTCAAAAGCAAGAATTATGTCTCATTTTGGTTGAAAAGCTATTAATAATAGTATTTCATGGCCTTATAGCAAGAATCCTGGCTCATTTTAGGCCTTGTTCGGTTAATCCCAAGGAGGGATTGGAGGGGATTTATTCCACACCTATTGGGGTGTGGAATTATTTCCCTCCAATCATCTTTAGTACCCTCCAAAGTGAACAAGGCCTTATGCAAGGGAATTTAAAATTTGTTAAGAATGTTGTATTTTATGTGGTTTAAACTCTAAACTTTAGACAATAATCTGATGCTAATGTACATGCTAAATATATGCATTTCATTGTTGATGCAGCAGTTTGCTCCTGGAAGCATACTTCTGTAGGTTCAAGCATATCTATACTTAGTAGGGCTGAACTTGTTCACAAATTCAAAGGTAATGATGCATTCTCCGTCATTGTGTATCCTCTATGATGTTTACTGCTGCGAGGTTAAAAAAATCCTCTACTCTCAATAACAAACATTATGGTCCACTAGTTTTATTTACTCTAGCCATTCTCCTGGTCACAAATTTTTAAGTGTCTTCTCATGATTTCAGATATGATCAACGTGAGGCTTATGGGAGCTTCCCCAATGGATAAATTTAGGTAAGAACGTATAGAGAACTTAGTAGTTTTACAACATCTCTTAAAGTTTTAGTTAGTACATCTCTCAAAGTCTGAACTTCAATATTTGTTGTGTTGCACTTTTTGTGCTATCTACCCTATAAGTAGCACAAATCAAGGTTGGCTGGCTCAACCGTTCAACCGTTAACTGGTTAAGATTGTTCCAAATCATAACATCAGCATGTTTGTCAATTCTCGTTAGATGAATAAATAGTGAAGTTTGTTGTTGACACAGTGACAACTATTTAGGATACTCCACCCTATTTCTCAATCGTGTTCTTTAATCCTTGTACTATGAATAATGGTTACTTATTATTGTCTATTTTGAAACATACCATTTTGTTCTTAGATTAGGTTATAAGCAGTTACTGCTGGTTGGTTATATATGATACTTGATGCAACTTTACCATTATATATTATTTTAGGTGATTGCCCTTGGATCTCAGTGGGTTATGGTCTCCAAGACTCCAACAAGCCAACTTGATCATGATGCTTGTGTGTTGCATTCTTGATAGAGTTCAGGATGGTGCTTCAACTATGAAGAGCTTAAGCTGTTTTTTGCGGTTTTCTTAGGATTCTGTAGGACTAGTACATTGTTTCATGCTTAGATCGAGATGTATGTTGAATATTTCTTCTTTTTATTACATTTGCATGTCAATCAATATAACATACTGATGGAATACTTTACCTTGTTGAATGTATTTATGCTCTAACAGGTTTATTGCAAGTTGATTAAGATTTCATCTGCACACTGTTAGTGTCCCTCAACTAGCAAATGCATATATTTTTTAAAACATGGTTCTATCAGTGCTTCCCGAGTGGTGCAAGCAAAAGGACACGCGGTAATGATTTTTGATATTACAGAGTGGCAGCTAAGAACACACCGTAACGTGCTGTTGACATGGCTATACCCGTTATGTCCACGTGTCAATATATAAAACTCGGGAAGCTCAGTGTCTCCGTTTGGATAGTCATCATGCCGTTAGTGGAACTTTGCAGAGTGTATTGTAGACACTCCGTAACCTCCCAACTGTTACGGAGTGTTTTTTCAGAAAACACACCGAAAGACAGCACGGGAACCTCGTATCACTCCCGGGCGTGCTGTACCACTCCGCAACATTATTACTGGGTGTTTGAAGTAGTTACCTAGCGTCCTGGCATTGTTACCGAGTGTTTTCGACACTAGGGAGCCTCTCCCATCCTAGTAGTGATCTATCTCCAAACATGAATTGCACCATATAATAAACATCAACCATATATAACAAATTAATCATCACAGTTTGACAAAAAAAAACGAGGGAACTTGATCAACTAGCTAACATGTACCATAATCATCATATACATACAGTGAGAGTACCACTCATCAAGAAGAAATGGTCCAGTTAGATCTCACCAAAAGCAGTGTACGGCTGAGATGCAACAAGAACGGCAGAGATGTGTGGCGCCACCGTGTGCTGGTATAATTGTACCAGCCGGCCGGCCGGCTGGCCGGAGAGATGCAAATAATACGGCAAATGCGATGGATATGTATGTATGGCAAGACGAGGGCCACATCTATCCCACACATGGGACGGTTTCCTTTTTCCTCCATATGTCTCTCTCTCCAAAAAGTCCCAATTGACAGCCATATATGTTCAAGCACGAGATTGCTATTAAGCGATCGGTCGCGTGGGGGAGGCGAACACGATCACGTTTCTCTGTACAATTTAAATCTAATTTTATCTATTTAAAAGTATAATTTAGGTATAAAGTCTTTTTTATCGAAGTTTATATGTATAAAGTTTACGTGTATAAAGTTTACGTGTATAAAGTTTATGTGTATAAAGTTTACCATTTTCTTGTATAAAATCTAGAATTTAAATTGACATTTATAAAAATATTTTATTTAGAAAATCCTTAACTCTAATACAACCAAGGACTGCATACCTAATATGCTTAAGTGAACACTAACCATATGCTAATTGCTATAAAATATAATCACTTTGACTAATCACATGGAGATAATATTGATATGAAGCAAAAGTATGGTATAGCTGGTATTGTTGGCTTAACAAATATACCCGGTCGAACTCGATCGCGGGGGGACGATCGCCGCGATCGTTCGCGTATCGGACACCCCCGTTCAAGCATGCATTGAACTCTTATGCTTGAACATAGATTCTAATCGCTCGAGAAAACGTGCGTACGCCTTAATTACATCTTTCTCAAAGCAAATGGTTCTTCATTTCAGATTCTTTTATATCTATTTGGATGATTTTTTTTAGAAGAGTAAAATACACCAGCGGTCCTTAAACTTGTCAGTATGTTTCACTTATGTGCACGAACTTGCAAAGTGCACATCGAGGTCCCTAAACTTGGTTTATTGTATCATCCCGGTCCAAAGCCGCGTTTGACTGTGGTCTTCCCTACGTGGCACGCCATGTGGATAATGACATGGAATTTTTTTTTATTTTGTTCTTCCTTCTTCCTTCTTTTTTTCTTTCTTCCTTCTTTTTTCTCGGTGGTGAGAGGCGGCACGAGAGGAGGGGTCGTCGTGGCGGTGAAAAAAGAAGAAGGGAGAAAAAAATAAAAAAAAATTACATGTCATCGTTCACGTGGCGTGCCACGTAGGCAAGACCACGGTCAAACACGGCTTTGGACCGGGATGATACAATAAACCAAGTTTAGGGACCTCGATATGCGCTTTGCAAGTTCGTGAACCTAAGTGAAACCTTCCAACAAGTTTAAGGATCGCTGGTGCATTTTACTCTTTTTAGAAAGTAGATTAAAATCCGGTCTCTATATTCAAACTGGAGAAACACGGTTTTCCGACTAGCTACACAAGGTGGTGGGCTATACGACTTGGATTCAAAGCCTCATCCCTTCTAATTATTTGATATTAGGTATTTCGTTAATATTCGCGTCTCTATATTCAAACTGGATACATATACATAGCCTAATTTGGATGATATTTGAGCAAATGAGGAAACATCCTCTGATCCCCACGAGCGATTAAAGAGTTTCCCATGCATGGCTGCGTCTTCTTTGGTCTGGATTTAATTTGCTTTTGAAAAACTAGAGAAGCTTAATTGTAAAGAAGCGCACGGAATTTTCATGCTAACATCGCTGTGCTTAAAATGTGACTTGAGTGAGTTTTGTTCGCTCCAAGTAGCTAGAGTCCAAAATCCTGTATCCACTGATTAATCACAAAGAATCACAAGCTCGATCACAATGCTGCCTTCCCGTGAAACATGGGGGACGTGTCTGGTACGGCCGTATCCGTTGTGTTCACAGTAATCTCGACAAGCGCACGCACCTGTTCACTGTAATCACAAGGCAAATTGTAGTGGGCGCATTCCCTTTGGCTAATCTATTAGGAAACTCGGCAAGGATGTACCCGGAACAAATCATGTTGAAATTAGGCTTTGATAGCCGCTGGGTTCAGTTAATAATGTCTTGTGTTTCTTCAGTTCAGTACAGGGTGAATTTCAATGGTGTATTGACAGAGGTTATTAAACCTTCTCGAGGCTTAAGGCAGGGGGATCCCTTATCCCCATACCTTTTTTTGCTGGTTGCTGAGGGTCTTTCGAGTATGCTGCAAGGAGCTGAAAATAGAGGAGATTTAGTGGGAATCAGAGTGTGTCGTGAAGCACCAATGATATCACACTTGTTATTTGCGGATGATTCTCTAATACTGATGCAAGCAGACAGGAATAATGCTGATCATCTGAAAGCAATTTTGGATACTTACTGTCAAAATTCTGGACAGAAAATCAGTGAAGTGAAGTCGAGTATTTTCTTCAGTGGAAATACTGCAGTCGAAGATAAAGCTGCTGTCTGTGGATCTCTAGATATTATGACTGAAGCTTTAAACGACAAATATCTTGGACTCCCAGCGATGATAGGTGTTGATAAGAGTGATTGCTTTCGACACCTGATTGATAGAGTGAACAACCGGATAAATGGATGGAAGGAGAAGATGTTGAGTACAGGGGGTAAGGAAGTGCTTATAAAATCAATCGCTCAGGCTATACCAGTTTTTGCGATGTCTTTTTTCAGGATACCGAAAAAAAATATGTGACTGTATCTCTGAAGCAATCGCGCGATTCTGGTGGGGTGATGATGAAAATCACAGAAGAATACATTGGAAGGCTTGGTGGAGGATGTGCATTCCAAAACAAAGAGGTGGTCTGGGTTATAGGGACTTATATTGTTTTAATCAAGCGATGCTTGCTAAACAGATATGGAGATTCCTGTGTGATCCTGACTCACTGTGTGCAAGGGTAATGCGATGCAAATACTATCCGGATGGAAATATTTTGAGGGCAAGACCAAAAAAGGGTAGTTCTTATACTTGACAAAGCATTCTATCTGGTTTGGAATGCTTTAAAGAAGGCTACATATGGAGAATTGGAGATGGATCACAAGTTAATATATGGGAAGATAGTTGGATACCTTCAAGCAGTAATGGGAAGATTTTAACACCTCGAGGAAGGAACATTATCACAAAAGTTGAAGAACTGATCAATCCAGTAAGTGGTGGATGGGATGAAGACCTGATAAATACTTTGTTCTGGCCTATTGATGCTAACCGAACAAATCCCTATTTCAGCTAGGAGAGAGGATTTTGTTGCTTGGCATCACACTCGGTCAGGAATTTTTTCAGTCCGGTCAGCTTACCATTGTCAGTGGAATGCAAAGTTTGGTAGCAAGGAGAGACTGCCTGATAGTGCAAGTAGCTCGAGCAGGCCGGTCTGGGACAATATGTGGAAACTGGAAAGTCCACCCAAGATAAAAATCTTTGCATGGAGAATGCTGCATGGTGTGATTCCCTGTAAAGGCATCTTAGCTGACAAACACATTGCAGTCCAAGGTGGTTGTCCGGTTTGTCCTTCAGGAGTTGAAGATATCAAGCATATGGTTTTTACTTGTAAAAGAGCAAAGTTGATTTGGAAGCAGCTAGGCATATGGAGCAGAATACAACCGATTCTGGGTTTCGACTGGTCAGGATATGTTCTTGTGGAGGAGGTGATAAGGAAGGGTGGAAAGGTTTCGCATCTGAATGCTATTGGAATGGCGGAATTGATCTTAACGGGAGCTTGGTATATTTGGTGGGAGAGAAGACAGTTGGTGCATGGTGAACGAATACAGAACCCTGCTCGGTCGGCAATGTCTATTGCTACCTTAACCACAAACTATATGTTGTCAAATAAGAAAGGTAAAACAAAAATTCAGAACGGTTGGAAGAAACCTCCTGAAGGAATGCTAATGATCAATGTTGATGCTGCCTTCGATATTGACTCGGGAAGTGGAGATACTGGGGTGGTGCTGAGAGATCACTTGGGAGCTTGAGTTGCGGCTTCGCAAGCATTTCTTCCACATGTACTTTATGCACTGATGGCGGAGGCTTTTGTGCTGAGAGATGGGCTGGCCCTGGCACAACACAGTGGTGCTAAAAATGTTATAGTACAAACTGATTGTATGCAGGTGGTTTCAACGATGATGGATGGAGGATTTTCTGCTACAGCGGCTATGTCTGTGTTTGGTGATTGGAAGCTAATGTGGGATGGGTTTGGTACAATTTCTATTGAGCACTGTAATAGAAATTCCAATCAGGTGGCTCATGAACTGGCCAGGTTAGCGTTTAGGACAAAAAATTCTTGTACTTGGGTCGATGAACCCCCTGGCTGTGTTCTGAATCATCTGGTAAACGATGTAACAATTTTATCCTATCAATAAAGCTAGCCG